GAAGTGGCAAAAGTGTGCAAACTTGTCTTGTGCCCGATTTTAGAGGGAAGCCTTTTAGTTTTTCCCCATTGAGAATGATACTTGCCATGTGCTTGTGGTAGATGGCTTTGACTATTTTGAGGAAAGTTCCTTCAATGCCTATTTTGCTGAGGGTTTCATCATAAACTGGTGCTGGATCTTGTTAATTGCTTTCTCTGCATCTATTGATATGATCATATGTATTTTATCTTTTCTTTTTTGATATGATGATTATGTTGCTTGACTTGCGAATGATAAACCATCCTTGCATCACTGGTATGAATCCTACTGGGTCATGGTGTATAATCTTTTTAATGAGTCATTGAATTCTATTTGCTAATAGTGTTTTGAGGATATTTGCGTCTGTGTTCATCAGGAATATCAGTCTGTAATTCTCTTTCTTTGTAGTATCTCTGTCGCTTTTGGTATCAGGGTGATATTTGCTTTATAGAAACTGTTCGGAAGTGTTTTTGATATTTCAATTTCATGGAAAAGCTTCAAGTGGATTGGGAGTAATCCCTCTTTAAAGATTTGGAAGAATTAACTAGTGAATCCATCTGGGCCAGGACTTTTGTGCTTGGGGAGAATATTTATTACCGTTTCAATTTCCTTGATGGTGATAGGTCTGTTCAGGTATTCCAGGTCTTCTTGGTTCAGCTTTGAGAGGCTATAGGAATCTAAGAATTTATCTATTTCCTCGAGGTTTTTATGTTCCGTGTCTTAAAGCTTCTCAAAATACTCCCCGAGGATCCTTTAAATTTCTGTAGTTGCTGTTGTAATGATCCCCTTTTCATTTCTGATTCGGTTTATTAGGGTTTTCTCTCTCCCTTTTTTGTGAGTTTTCTAGAGGCTCATTGATCTTGTTTATTTTCTCAAAGAACCAGCTCTTAGTTTCATTGATCTTTTGGATTGTTTTTTGGGTTTCCATCTCATTATTTTCTGCTCTGAGTTTTGTTATTTCCTTCCTCCTATTCAGATTGGGCTCCTTTTGTTGGTCCTTCTCCAAGCTCTTAAGCGTGAGGTTAGGTTACTTATGTGGGCTTGCACCTCCTTCCTGAGGAATGCTTTTAGATCTATAAATTTTCATCTTAACACAGCTTTTATGTGTCTCATAAGTTTGGTAACTCGTGTCCTCATATTCGTTCGTTTCCAGGAATCTTTTGATTTCCTCTTTGATTTCCTTTCTAAGCCACTCTTTGTCCAATAGTGAACTGTTTAATTTCTAGCTGTGTGATTTAGTTTTCTGTCTGTGTGTGTGATTTACTTCTAATTTCAGCGCATTGTGCTCTGAGAAGATAGTTGGTACAATGTTTTTCTTCTGAATTTTATGGAGCTATGTTTTGTGGCTCAGCATGTGGTCTATCTTGGAGAATGTTTCATGCACACTTGAGAAGAATGGATATTCAGCTTTTTAAGGATGAAGTGCCCTGCATATATCTACTAAATCCCTTTTTAAAAAAAATTTCCCCTCAGATGAATATGTCCTTGCTAAGCTTGAGTCTGGTTGATCCATCAAGAGGTGATAAAGTGGTCTTGAAGTCTCCCACTAGTATTGTGTTGCTATAAATGTCTTTCTCCAAGTCTATGAGTAGTTGTTTTAAGTACTTTGCTGGTCCCTCATTAGGTACATATACATTTAGTATTGTAAGTTCTTCCTATTCTACATATCCCTTGATCAATAAGAAATGGCCTTCACTGTCTCTTGTGACCTTCTTCAGTCTGAAATCAATGTGGTCTGATACTAGGATGGTTATCCCAGCTTTTTATGGGAGTTATTTGCCTGTGGGATTGTTTTCCGGCTTTTGATTCTGAGCCTGTGTTTGCTTTGACTCTTGAGATGTGTTACTTGCAGGCAGCAGAATGTTGAGTTCAATTTTCTATTCCATCCTGCAACTGTGTGTCTTTTAATTGGTGTGTTTAGCCCATTGATGTTGAGAGAGATTATGGTCATGGGGTTTTGACCCATTTTTCTGTTAAAATTTGGTGTACTTGAGGGGCCTGTCTTGTCTTCAAGTAGCCCATTTAGTTGCTCTTCTAACCATGGTTTTGAGTCTATGAAGTTCCTGAGCTGTTGTTTGTCTGTGAAACTGTGTTGTTCCTTGTGTGTTGAATGAGAGTCTCGCTGGGTAAAATATTTTTGGTGAGGCATTTATTTCATTGAGTTTTTTTCACTATATCCCACCACTGTTTTCGGGACATGAGGGTTTCATCAGACAAATCAGGTGTGAATATTAAGGATGCTCCTTTATAAGCAACTTCTTTCTTTGATCTTGCTGCTTTTAGAATTTTGTCTCTATCTAAGGTTTTGGTCATTTTGATCAGTATGTGTCTTGGGGTATTTTTATTCGAATTTCTTCTAGCTGGTACCCTTTGGGCTCCTGAATGTGGTCACAAGTTTTCTTCAGTTCTGGAAACATTGTAGCAATGATGTCATTGACAGTTTCTTCTTTATCAGGGTTTTTTTCCTGTACCTCCGGGACTCCAATAATTCTTATTTTACTCCTCTTTGCTTCATCAGGATCTTCTCTTGCCATCTATTCCCAGACTGTGAGTCTCTTCCATTTTCTGCTCTTTCCTGGAGAGTTGTTGCATTTCATCTTGGAGTTCACAGATTCAGTTGTTACTCTGCTGCTGAGGCCTTCCACTGAGTTTTTCAATTCACTGCCAGTTTTTTCAGGTCTGGCATTTCCGTTTGTAATTTTGTTTGCATTTTCCACATTTCTATCTTCAAATTCTCCTGTCTTTTATTGGTCTTGCTTTCCATTGTTTCTCTTAGCTCCCTAAGCATCCTCAGTAGCTCCGTTCTAAATTCCTTTTCAGAGAGTTTGTCTAGCACTTCATTACTCTTGGGGTCTTCTGGGCTAGCCTCTTCAATAAGTAAACTTGGTGGGCTTCTGCGTTTCTTTATCATTGTGACCTGTGTGTTTTAACCCTTCATGCTCACTGTTACTATTCAGCTTATGATGCAGGCTTAAATGACATGGGCTTAATGAATTATTGGCTAATGTGTTTCTGGTGATTAAGGTAACCTAGTGAAAGTTTCATCTAAGAGAGGAACTTATGGGTCCTATGGGAAATGTAAGGGGGAATAACTCTAATGTGGCTGGGGCTCTGGTAGGGGGCTCTGCCACCGGGTGGGTACCTGGATGAGTGAGCAGAGGGTGCCTGGAACAGTTCAGCTTTGGGTTCACACAGTGTACCTCAATTCCCGTCCTCCGCAGACCAAGGATGTAAACCTGCCATTCTTGGGAGGGTCTAGTTATACGCGCAGCCCCCGGAAGGGACCTTGCCGCCAGGCAGGTACCTGCACGAGTGTGCAAAGGGTGCCTGGAATGGTTCAGATTTGGGTTTGCGTGGTGTGCCTCAATTCCCATCCCCCACAGACCAAGGATGTAAACCGGCCATTCTCGAGGGGGGCTGTCTAGTTAGACACGCAGCCACAGGATGGGGCCCTGCCGCCAAGCGGGTATCTGGATGAGTCGAAAATAGTCTCTAACACCATCTCCAAACCTCTCTCCTAAAGCCACTAACCAACAGGTTTTGTGGCAACTCTGTGGCAATACATGTAAATTCCTGAATCTCTCCAGAAACAGGAATGTGCGGAAAGCTGAAGGGTTTGAAAAGGAGAGCTGGATTATTTATTAAAAACAAACAAACAAACAAACAAACACCGTCCTCCCATTGTTCATCGATTTGCTTGAACGGGCCCAGTAACGTCTCCATTTTTTTAAAGACTTGTTGTTACTCTGTTTGGCATATTGAATACGTCACAGGTAACTTGCCCGGCTTTGGCGCGCAGGTGAGATACTCTAGGTAATTTGTCGGGCTCTCCAAGAGGGGCAGAGGAATCGAACCTGGTTTAGCCAGGCTGGCTGCACACAATGCAAGCGCCCTACCACTGTGCTATCACGAGAAAATGGGAAAGGTCTTTGGCTAATTTCCCTGGCATAATTCACCATTCTTCCTTCGGTTTGGTTCTTTTCTCCCTTTTCCCTTCCCAAAATTAAGGTGAAATTAGCAATCTTCATGAATAAAGTTGATTCACCCTTTATGCAGAAATATCTAGCTAGCATCCACAGAGGCTGTATTGTGTCTATCATTTTATTTACAAATTGAAATGAATATTTTCAACTTCGTGAGCTGTGCCAATTTCTGATAGTTATAATTATTATCTCAGTTTGATCCTAGATATTTCCTGTTTCCCAGCCTCTGTAGAACCAGAGACACACAAATTTAGCATAACGCTTAAGCGTAGATTCAGACCATCTTGCTCTATCTAAAATCCTCTGCTTCCAGTGAGCTTTAGTCTTATCCTTGTATGTTGTGATCATAGTGATACAAGTCTAGAGTACTAAATAATACAGCTTGTTGAAAGTTCTTAAGACAGTGTTCAGTATGTAGTAAAAGCACAAGAAACAGACAGTATGAGGGAACACTCTCTCATCTCCATTATAGCCTTGAGGAATTTTAAAATTTGTACTTCCAAGAAATTTTATAGTTAAATGTTAATTTTTGTCCATTATCCGATATGCATAAACATCAAAAGCCCTGTTTTTAAGATGTCCATACCAGTTCAGTGGGGTATGTTTGGACAATAATCCAGCTACAACACATAAAAATATATTGTCTAGTCCTTTTTTGCTGCATTCCAGTCTCTTATGTCCTCTGAGACTCTCATTAGCAACAAGTATGTAGGGATGATTTGTGCTAATTCTCTATTCTCCATTTTCCATAAATATTTCCAAATACTTAGAATAGAATTCATGCACAGGAACTCATGCCACTATTAAGTCAGCCCTTACTTTAAGTTTAGCGGTGCCTCTGATTGGACGTTCTGTGAAAATCTGAATAAGGTAATTTTTCCTCTTATTACTATGTGTCTGAAAACTTATCAAAGAAGAAAGTTGGTTATAGGGCCCCCAAACAGAAACAAAAACAAAAACACAGTAAGCTAATCTATTATTTGCTTACTGTTTCCACAGCTCTGGGTTAATCAGGAGGATGGAGTAGAGGAAGGAGCGAGTGATGTGCAGAATGGGCACCTGGACCCCAACTCGGACTGCCTTTGTCTGGGCCGGCCACTACAGAACCGGGACCAGATGCGGGCCAATGTCATCAATGAGATTATGAGCACTGAACGTCATTACATCAAGCACCTGAAAGATATTTGTGAGGTAGGTTCAGCTGTGATTAATACATGTGATAGTAATTACTACTTGTAATTACTACCTGTTATAGTAAAACTTGAATCAGGATTACTATTATAAAAGACTATATATAGCCTTTTATAATCCTGATATAAAAGGCCATACAGAGTTCTGACAGTCCAAATAGTTTGGAATACATATGATATATTCATATTTATTCGTTATCCCCTAAAGTACATTTTTCTCCTTTATATATCCATTTAAAATCTCTTTGATGCTTCTCCAGTTATTGCAACCATATACAAGATCCTGGTATCATTTATTAAAGAAAAAACATCCTCTGAAGCACGAGGTTCATAAATTTAAACAGGGATACTGGAAGAACTTATTGAATCTGAAGATGCAAACCTTTTCTCCTATCCCCTAAGTTCTAAATTCTCGTTCTGGGGTGGGTTACATATTTAATAGTATTCTTTTGTGATATCTGAGGTTGCTACTCCCCTTCTATCATTTGAAGAACAATTAATTGAAGGTTTAGTAGAGAACTCAGTGAGATAAGTCTATTTGGTCTAAAGTTTGGATGTGCAAGTCTTAATTCTTCTTTCAAGTCAAAGAGGAAATCAGAGAAGAAATAAAGATTTCTGCAAAAATAATAATGTATTGAACATTATGTGAATGAAACCTGATCATGAAAAGCTTTTAAATTCTATTTATCACCATGATTCAATTTTTAAAAGAAAAAATGGAACCCACCGAAAACAAAATGAGGATATGAGAGTAGAAAGAAGAAAAATACAACTACAAATAAAAATACAAACAAAAATCACAGATTTGAAAAACCTGGTAAGTGAAATGGGGAACAAACTGGAAGGTCTCAGCAGCAGAGTAACAGCTGTTGAGGACAAAATCAGTAAGTTCAATAAAATTTTATAGTAAAGTGTCAGGCTATAAAATCAATACCCAAAAGTCCATGGCTTCAGTAAATATAAGTGGACAGTAGAAAATGGAAATATATCCCCTGCTCATGGATCGGGAGAGTTAACATTGTCAAAATAGCAATACTTCCCAAAGCATTGTACAAATTCAATGTGATCCCTATAATGATACCAATGACATTCTTCAAAGAAATGGAGCAAACACTCCTGAAATTCATAGAACAATAAGCCCCCACAAATAGCTAAAGCAATTCTTGGGAAAAAGAAAATAGGAAGAATCAACCTCTCTACCTTCAAACTCTACTACAAAGCAGTAATAATTAAAACAGCATGGTACTTGAACAAAGGCAGCGCTGCAGACCAATGGAACAGGATTGAGTGTACTGACATCTCTCCCCAAGCATATTATAATCTAATCTTTGAGAAGGGGGCAATGAATGTGAAGTGGAGCAAGGAAAGCCTCTTTAACAAATTGTGTAGGCAAAACTGGACAGCTACAAGCAAAAATTGGGCTCAGATCTCTGCCTAACACCATGTACAAAAGTTAGATAAAAATGGATTAGAGACCTCAACATCAGACTGGAATCCATAAGGTACATTGAAAACAAAGTTGTTGAAATCCTCCATGACATTAAAGCTAATGGTATCTTCAAAGATGTCACACCACTGCCCAAGCAAGTGAAAACAGAGATAGACAAATGGGAGTATATTAAACTAAGAAGCTTCTGTGCCTCAAAAGAAACAGTGACCAAAATACAAAGACATTCTACAGAATGGAAAAGGATATTCACCCAATAGATATCTGACAAGGGGTTGATATCAAGGATAAATAGAGTACTGGTTGAACTCCACATGAAGAAAACATCCAACCTCATCAAAAATTGGGGCAACGAAGTGAACAGAAACTTTCTCAAATAATAAATCCAAATAGCTAAAAGGCACATGAAAAATGCTCTACATCATTAATCATCAGAGATGTGCAGATCAAAACAACAATAAGATATTATTTCACACCACAGAGACTGGCCCACATCCAAAAGAACAAAAGCAACTGGTGTTGTTGTGGATGTGGCGAGAAACGGACCCTCCTTCATTGCTGGTGGGAATGCCGTATGGTTAAGCCCTTTTGGAAAACAGTATGGATGATTCTCAAAAAATTAGAAATTGAGCTCCCATTTGACCCAGCAATACCACTTCTGGGAATATATCCCAGAGAGGCAAAAAAAAAGTATAGTAGAAGTGACATCTGCACTTGTTTGTTCATTGCAGCACTCATTACAATAGCCAGAATCTGGAAAAAACCTGAGTGCCCTAGAACAGATGACTGGTTACATAAACTTTGGTACATCTACACCGTGGAGTACTATGTAGTTGTTAGAAAAGATGAAGGCATGAAATTTTTATACAAGTGGTACTACGTGGTAAGTATCATGCTAAGCGAAATGACTCAGAAAGAGAGTGACAGACATAGAAAGATTGCATTCATCTGGGGAACATAAAATAACAAAATAGGAGACTAACAGCCAAATGTAGGCGAGATAAGTACCAGGAGGTTTACTCCATGGCTTGGAGGCCAGCTGCACACGCTAGGGGAAAAGGCAGCTCAGATAGAGCAGGGAGCACCAAATAAAGGGTGTTGGGAGGATCCTCCCGAGATGGGAGATGCATGCTGAAAGTATACTATAGACCAAACATGATTGCCACTCACTGCCTCTTTTGTAAACAGCAGCACCCAAAAGGAGAGAGAGAATAAAAGGGAATACCCTGCCACAGAGTTAGGTTGGGAGTTGGGGAATGGGTGGCGGGAGGGATACTGGGATCAGTGGTGGTGGAGAATGGGCACTGGTGGAGGGATGGGTACTCAATCATTGTATATCTGAAACCCTCGCACAAACATGTGTAAGTCTACAACTGTCCCTCATGTTGTTTCACTAAAAAAATTAAAATATAGAAGAAAAAAATAAAAAAATAAAACCATTGTCATAATCATTTTCAACAACAACAAAAGACTTTAATAGCACAACTGAATCCATAAGCTACATGAAGGAAAATGTTGACAGAACCCTCCATGATACTGAGGCTAAAAGTATCTTCAAGGATTGACAAAGCAAGTGGAAACAAATATAAACAAATGGCACTAATTTATACTAAAAAGCTTCTGCACCTCAAAATAAACAGTGACCAAAATACAGAAAGAGCCCACGGAATGGGAAAAAGATATTTACCCAATACCCATAAAAAATCAAACCCTATCCAAAAATGAGGAGAATAAACATAAAGCTCATCAAATAACAAATATATCTATGATGTAAAAAAGAAACATTACTAGAACTTTACAAGAAAAAAATGTAACCCCATCAAAAAATATGGAGAAGATATAATCATAAAGTTCCTAAAAATAAATACAAATGGCAAAAAGGCACATGAAAAATGCTCTCCATAGCTAATCATCAGGGAGATAAAAATCAAAACAGCAATGAGTTATAATTTTACATCACAGAAACTGGCACACATCAATAACAAGAAGAACAACAAATGCTGGTGTGGATGTTGGGAAAAAGGAATTCTCATTCATTGTTTGTGGGAATACCAAGTGGTATTATTCACAATAGCCAGAAACTAAATAAAACCCGAGTGCTTGAGAAAAGATGACTGGTTAAAGAATCTCTGGTACATCCACACAAAGGAATACTATGCAGCTGTTGGAAGAGATGAAATCATGAAATCATGAGGTGGATGGACATGGAGTGTATCATGCAAAGTGAAATTAGACAGAAAGAGAGGGACAGACATAGAATAACTGCACTCATCTTTGGAATATAAAGTAGCATGAGATTAACACCCAAGAACAGTAGAGATAAGGGACAAGAGGAACATACCACGGTTTGGAAACTGGCACTACATGTTCAGGAAAAATGCAGTTGGTATAGAGAAGGGACCACAAGTAAATTATGATTGGAGGGATCACCTGGATATCTGCTGAAAGTAGACCAAGAACCAAAAATGATGGCCTTTTAGTATCTGTATTGAAAATAATAATGCCCAAAGTTAGACGGAGAGAAAGAATTATTGTACTTTTCACAGAGGCGGGGAGTAGGATGGAGGGACACTGGGAACAATGGTGGTGGAACATTTTCACTGTTGGAGGGATTGGTGCTCAAGTAACATATGCCTTAAATGTAATCAAGAAAATTTGAAATTATATTTCAGGTTAATCCAATAAAAATTATTTTAAAAGGAGCGATCTGTGAGCAAGTCCTTCAGGTTGTGACCCAAGATCAGAAAAAGAAAGGAAAAATTAAAGGTTAGCCTTGGCAGTAGTAAGGCACAGCAGACCTGGGCTCAATCGTCAGTGTCCAATATGGCCCTGTGTGCACTGCCAGTAATAATACCTGAGTGCAGACCCAGGAGTCAGCATTGAAAAAGATGCCCTACACTTCCATTCACCACTGGTCAGAATGTTCACTCCTCCAGCCTTTTTAGAAAATAATATGGACATTCCTCAAAACTCTAGAAATTGAGCTTTCATATGACCCAAGCAATACTGCTCCTGGGAATATACCTAACAACCCAAAAAAACACAAGGAAGAAAAGGCATCTGCACTCCTGTGTTCATTGTAGTGCTATTCACAATAGCCAATGATAACAGATGAGTGGACAAAGAAACTATGGTGTATGTACACAGCAGGTAAAGGTAAAGGTAAAGGCCCTCCCGTTGATCGTCGATTTGCTCGAGCGGGCCCAGTAACGTCTCCATTGGAGACTTTGTTGTTACTGTGTCTGGCATATCCAATACTCTCGGTAGCTTGCCGGGCTCTCCGAGAGGGGCGGAGGAATCGAACTCGGGTCGGCCATGTTGGCCGCGTGTAAGGCGAACACCCTACCCGCTGTGCTATCGTACACAGCAGAATACTATGCAATTGTAAGGAAAAATGAAGACCTGAAATTTGCTTATACATAAATGGACATGCTGAGAGAAATGACTCAAAGGACAGAAACAGAATGATCACAGTCATTTGTAGGAAATATACATGTATTATATATAATATATACATACATCACTTGACATCCTGTTATTCATCGATTCGCTTG